CTTGGGCTACGTCCTGCTGCCACCCTTCCTGCAGCGCCAGAGCTGGGTGTACCGCCAGATGAGGGCCGCAGGGCTGAAGCCCGGGGCCCTGAGCCCGCAGGTGCTGCTGACCCACCTGGCCCGCGTGTACGGCAACATCTTCAGCTTCTTCATCGGCCACCACCAGGTGGTGGTCCTCAGCGACTTCCACACGGTGCGCGAGGCGCTGGTCCAGCAGGCCGAGGTGTTCAGCGATCGTCCGCGGCTGCCGCTGGTCTCTCTCATTACCAAGGAGAAGGGTGAGCGGGGCCTCGGCCGCCGGCGCCCGGCGGGTCGCGGGGAGCGCGCGTCGCGGCGGAGGGGATCCAGGTGCGCTGGCGCCCGCGGTTAGCCGCCCCTGCCATCCTATGGGGCACGCCCTGCCTGCTTCACACCTGCATCCTGTGCCCGGAGGGTGGTGTCGGCGGCGGCGGCTGGCGCCCAGTTCCCAGGTGCAGGGATGAATTCATGACTTGTGCAGATTCCGAGGTCAGAATTGGAAGGAAACCTACCAGGACCTTTAGGGACGATGATGGACAAAAGGGTGTGAAGCCAGGTGCCATCCTTCTAGGGGTCCTTTCTCCTATCCAGAACTAGGCCTCGCTCTCCAGTGGGCCTTCACTGCCACGGGGTCGTTTCTGACTCATAGCGACCCTAATAGAACTAACTGGGTCTGGGTTTCCGAGACGGACTCTTTACAGGCGTAGAAAGCCTCATCTTCTTCCCACGCAGTGATGGAATTCTAATAATTTAACAAACGATTCGCTGCCCTAATGACCGTTATAAGTATCAAAAAAACGATATCCCAAAAGGTAGTTTATTATTTTATACATTTAATACGTAAACAAGAACAATAAAAGAGGGACTCTAGATTCTAAGAGTTTAAAAATAATAAAATAGTAAATACCAGCCCCCCCCCCAAAAAAAATCCCAGTACAGTACACTGTTATTTAAGATATTTCCATATCGCTTCTTGATTGGCATCCTCACTTGCAATATTCTTCACTTTTATCCAAGTATCATCAGCTATGTGATTTATCCTTAACCATCTTTCCCTGTAGGAGTAAGAGCCAGTCCAGTTAGATTAATAGTCCTTTGGGTGATCTATTAGAAACAGCTGACTTCTCTGAGCATATTCTGTTCATCTTTGAAAAGCCTCTTTCTGCTTCTGCTGAGCTTACAGCAGTTCTGACAAGATTTTTAGCTCTTTGAACACTTTGAACGCTTTTGCAGCACTCAATGTCTCTTTACTGAAGGAAGCAACACACACAAGGGAATAAACAGTATTTCATCAAAAGTAGTTTTATGGAATGGATCAATATCACAAGCATAGTTCCATACAACATTTTATACCCATGGACGGAATGAGCTTTACTACAGGAGCTTAGAAAACCCTGTGGCACAGGTGAACGTTCATCTGTGATTTCCACATTGGATGGCCACCACCCACCTGATAGAGAAACCTGGTTCCACAGGCAAATTTAACAACCCGTCTGCTGAACTCAACAAAAAATTAGGAACTGGTGGCAACCAGCTGAATCTCATCACTCTTACGAGCAGCTGGTGGTTGAGAACTGCTGAACTTGCATTTAGCAGCCTAACTCATAACCCACTATGCCAAGGCTGGAGAATTTGGACCATTTGGGGTGACTCACTCACTAGTAGTATCAGTTTAAATGGCTTTTCCTCAAGGAAGCTTGTTGTTGTTGTTGTTGTCGTTGTCTTACTCCCCTTCAGGTAGGTTAAGCACCCTTGTTAGAGCCACTTTTCTTTCACTGCACTTATTAAAACTGGTTACCGACGAGTCACACATCATTCCTCTAGTTCCTGAATGCTTCCTCTCCCCCACTACCATGACCCAGCTCTACCTTACAAATCTGGCTAGACCAGAGAACACACATTGGTACAGATAGAGCTCTCGACACAAAGAATTCAGGACAGATAAACTCCTCAGGAACTGTAGTGGGAGCAGCGATATGAATCATGAGGGTAGGGAAGGGGGAAAGAGGGGGAACCCATCCCAAGGTTGGATATATAGCCCCCCCCCAGGGGACAAATAACAGAAATGTGGGTGAAGGAAGACCATGTAAGATATGAAATAATAACAATATATAATTGATCAAGGATTCCCTAGGGTGGGAGGGGAAAAAACAGCATATACCAAGGGCTCAAGTAGAAAATGTTTTGGAAATGATGATGGCAACATATGTATAAATATGCTTGATACCATTGATGTATGGAATGTTATAAGAGCTGTAAGAGGCCCCAATAAAATGATTTTAAAAAAATAAAGTAAAATATAAAATACAAACGGAAGTGACACCATTTTGTAACCCTGGGCCTGCATGCATGTGGCTCAGGTGGGGAGTGGGAGGAGAAGCATGGCCCGCCGAGCAGCTGGAGGAGGACCATCTGAACAGCAGGTTGCAGCTCCCCAGGCAGTCGGAGACTGGAAAACAACTCCAAGTGGAACAGCATGCGTGGAGGCCTCCAAAAATGAAACGCACTGCCCTCGAGCTGATTTCGACGCTGGGCCGAGTGGAACCGGCGCTCTGTGTCTCCAAGACTGTAACTGTACGGGAGCAAAAAGCTGCATCTTTCTCCCGTGTGGGGGCTTACCAAAAACACCGAGCAAAACTCACTGCCATCCAGTCAGTGCTGCCTCATGGCAACCCCCTGTGGGTTTCCAAGACTGTAACTGTTGACCAGAGTAGAAAGCCTGGTCTGTCTTCCTCGGAGCTGCTGGTGGTTTTGAACTGCTGATCATGCAGATTGCAGCCCATTTCGTAACCACCACACCACCAGCGCTGTGTGGAGGATTATAGAGGGTGAGTGATGAAATGTTTATTTTCCAGTGAGTGTAGAGTAATGATTATTAATACTATTATTCATTTAAAAACCTGATGCAAGCCTCTGCCCTTACCAGATTCTACAACGGCTGTATCTCTTTATGACACATTGCAGTTAGGAAGTAACAGGTGTTTTTAGCTTATAATTACATGTTGCACCCTACAATGTGCCAGGACAGATAACGCCTCTGTTTTTCCAGATGGCAACCTCCTGGTGAAGACTGGCACCCAGGTCCAAGGTTGCAAAATTCTGTGACTCAGTTTTGATGATTGCGATGAAAGTACCTAGTATGGTGACACTGGCTCTAACAAGGGTACCTGAGAGGCAGTAAGGGGGGGAGGGGGGGAAGCTTCCCTGAGGAAATGCATTTAAATTGATGCCACCAGTGGATGAGAGTCACCAAGGGGAAGCATATCCCTCACCCTTTTCAAAATGGCCACAATTCCCCAGCCTGGGCATAGTGGGTTATGCATTAGGCTGCTAACCGCAACGTCAGCAGTTCTCAACCTCAGCTGCTCATATGAGCAGTGATGGGATTCAGCTGGTTCCCATCGGTTCCTGATTTTTGTGTGCTTGTTAACCCCTGGGTGCCCACTGCAGAGCACAGAGCAGGTGATCCACGACTGGATGTGTGCATGCACGCACTTCGCTCATTACGGCATCATTTGTGTTGGCTACCTGTCTCTCCCTCTAGGCTGCTTGAAGGTAGGAATTCGATTCTTTCAAGTGCTAACGTCACAGTGCCCAATTCCTGACACAGCACATATTTATCAAAATGTTTCTTAACGGGCATGGAATCTGCTCAGGAATCAATAATAAACCAGTCTCGTAACGTATGAGTTGGATCCCTGCTTGTTATTAGCTCTCACTTTGATTTAGGAAAAGGTCCCTGGGTGGCATCAACAGTTTTGTGCTTGTCTGTTAAACCTGCAGGTTGGCAGTGTGAGCTCACCCAGCAGGGTTATGGAACTAAGGCTTGGCGGTCTGCTTCTGTAATGATTACAGCTAAGCAAACACTCATGTCGGCCCCGTGTGCTCTGTAACACATGGGAATCAGCTTACCAGCAATGGGTTGGGATTTTGGTAAGAAAAGAGCTGGGAGTCTGGGTCACTTGATTCTTCGCCTTCTCAAGGGAAGCACCTGGCCTAAGGAGACACGATTGTTCGGCAGTGCTGCTCTGAGATTCTGGTGCAGGTGTGGTGAGTGAATGTGCTGTGAAGGAATTCATGAGAGTTTAGGGAATGTTGTTGCTAGCTGCCATCGAGTTGGTTCCAACCCATGGCAGCCCGGAGCACAACAGAACAACCCATCGCCTGGGCCTGCACGTCTTCGCCATCGTACCTGTGCTGGATCCCACTGGTGGAACCCCTGGGCCATTCTATCTGGCTGAGGGCCTTCCTCTTTTTTGCTGCCCCTTCACCTTTCCATACAAGATGTCCTCTTCCTGGGACTGGTCTCTCCTGACGTCGTGTCCAAAATATGTCAGAAGAAGTGTCACCATCCTTGCCTCTAAGGAGCTCTCTGACCAGACTTCTTCCAGGACAGATTTGTTGGTTTTTAGAATAGTGAGTAGATTATCTGGATAGGAAAATGTAGATAATGGAGGAATGTTCTTTCAGGGACGCTTTTTCACAAGCAGAGAATAAAAGGGAAGAATGATTGTTAATTTCAAGATACCCATCAGAAGGCGAAGAGTAGACATTAAGAGTGGATGTCAAGGGGTCCATATAGAAAAAGAATGCTTGGAAACTGATTGTGGTAGCAAATGTACAATTCTGCTGGATGTGATTGAACTACGGGATGACTTGATATATGTATAATCCCAATTAATACATGACTGGCCTGAAGAAGAGAAGCCACCGGAGTGAGAGGCCACGCTCCCGAGCTTGGCAAGACCCTCGAGGGCAGCTGGAATCACCTTTGGCTACAGTTTCCAAATACAAAAGATGAGTTAATGAAATGGCTCAAAAGTGAGACATGTAGACCACATGTTTACTTGGATTTCATTGACTGTGCAAAGACAGTAGATTGTGTGGATTGTAACAAACTATGGATCGCCCTGAGAAGAATGGGAGTTCTAGAACACTCAGTTGTGCTCCTGTGGAACCTGTACCTGGATCAAGGGGCAGTTGTGCAGACAAGAAGGGAATACTGCATTGTTTGAAATCAAAGATGTGCGCCAGGGTTGCATCCTCTCACCGTGCCTATTCAGTCTGCAGGCTGAGCAAATCATCAGAGAAGCTGGATTCTAGGAAGAAAAGTGAGGCATCGAGTGGAGGAAGGCTGATGAACAGCCTGCAATGTGCAGACGACACAGCTTACTGAAAGGGAGGAAATGAAACGCTTGCTGATGGAGATCAAGGCTCTTCCATGTGGATTCCAGCTAAATGGAAAGAAGCCCAAAGTCAAAGCGTGTCTTTGATGGTGCTCGTTGGTGTACAGCATGGGTGTCAAACAGGCGGCCCGCGGGCCGCATGGGGCTTCGAGGTAACTTTTTGTGGCCGCGATGCTCTGAAATAAAATGAAAATTGTTAGGAAGAAAATAGCGCTTAGGGGAGATCGAGGCAATACCATCCATACAATTCCCTGGTTAACCCTTGAACTACTGAAGACGAGTGTACACGTGGCCCAGTGCCTTTCCCGGGGACTTGTATACATGCGCTGACTCAGTTCCGGCGACATTTGGAAGTGATATGCCTCTCACTCTCAGTGTTATGTCATGTAAACAGATCCTAATAGTGAAAAGGTTCAAAGGAGCACTCTGGGATGTGCTGTATGAATCAGACCTAGCGGCAGCGCTAGTTAACATTTTTAGAACGAAGCCATTACAATTGTGCATCACGTTTGTCAGCTTTTTGTGGGTTTTATTAGTTACTTTGTTATATTTTCTGGTCACAACATAAGAGGTAAGTGAAAACTAGTAGGAATAAAAAGGAATAATTTTAGTTTTATAAATACATTAAATAAAATGTTTAAATAAAAGCAATTAGATGGTGTCTTAATCATCCTATCCACATTCATGAATCCTCACTTCAAAATACAAATTTTAACAAAATTTGTAAATGTGATGTGGCCCCCGTGAATCTTGCTCATTGCACCAAATGGCCTGCGTTTTAGTTGAGTTTGACACCCCTGGTATAGAGCGGTGGTTCTCAACCTTTCTGATGCTGCGACCCATGCTGTGACCCCAACCATAAAATTATTTTTGTTGCTACTTCATAACTAATTTTACTACTGTTATGAATCAGGCGACCACTCTGAAAGGCTCATTGGACCCCCAAAGAGGTCACGACCCACAGATTGAGAACCACTGGTGTAGAAGGTTATGCCTTGGGCTGCCGACCATAAGGCCAGCAGTTCAAAACCATCAGGCATTACATGGGAGAAAGATGAGGTTTTCTATCCTATAAAGACTTAGTCTTGAAAACCCACAGGGACAGCTCTACCCTACTATAGGGTTGCTTTGAGTCAGAATCAACTCGATGGTGTTTTGTTTTGTTTTGTTTTTTTCTGAATTTCACACAGGTAGCCTGAGAAATCTAGAGTACATTTCATGGTGGGTCCCGTTCAGTGGGATCAGGTGTTGCTCTCTCACCTTCCATTCTTGGTGTCTTTTTGCAGGAATTGTATTTGCACATTATGGTCCAGTCTGGAGGCAACAGAGAAAGTTCTCTCATGCAACTCTTCGTCATTTTGGCTTGGGGAAGCTTAGCTTGGAGCCCAAGATCATTGAGGAGTTCAACTATGTGAAAGAGGAAATGCAAGAGCATGGTGGAGCCCCCTTCAATCCTTTCCCCATTGTCAATAATGCCATCTCGAACATTATTTGCTCCTTGTGTTTGGGCCAGCGTTTTGACTATACCAACAGTGAGTTCAAGAAGATGCTTCATTTCATGTCACGAGGGTTAGAAATCTCTCTCAACAGCCAGGTGCTCCTGGTCAACATCTGCTCCTGGCTGTATTACCTTCCCTTCGGACCATTTAAGGAGCTAAGACAAATTGAAAAGGACATAACCACTTTCCTTAAAAAAATCATCAAAGATCATCGAGAGTCTCTGGATGGAGAGCACCCTCAGGACTTCATAGACATGTACCTTCTCCACATGGAAGAGGAAAAGAAAAATAATAGCAAGAGTAGTTTCAACGAAGACTACTTATTTTATATTCTTGGGGATCTCTTCATTGCCGGGACTGACACCACCACCAACTCTTTGCTTTGGTGCCTTCTGTATATGGCACTGCACCCTGATGTACAAGGTAAAAACCAAAAACCTTTCCTTCACTCGTGGTAAAACCCAAGGCAGGACCGGCAGCCTTGGTGACTCTGGCGTCTTTAGGCTGAAAAGGGAAATGGAAGGACATTGCATTTCGCAGGGAGTGGTAATGCATTAGCAGGGAAACCCCCGTTTCTGAACAGTGAGATGTCATCGCTCACTTGGCCTGCTTTAACTAAGAATTCACAGGTGTGACTCTGGAGAAAAAGCGTTAGAAAGGGACATTGTAGAGCTGAAAGGCATCATAAGGGCCATGTGAAGCCGTTTGTCTGGTTTTGAAAATGGAGAACAGAAACCAAGAGCAGTGGTGTGACTGTCACAGGATCACATAGCTAGTTTCACCACTTGGTGCCAGTCGCTAGCGAATGGCACTGCCGGTTCATGGTGGTGAGTGAGTACAGGGAAGGATGGTGTATGAGGGTCAATCCAAAAGTATTGCTACAAAACCACAGAAACGTTGAGGAATGAAAATATCCAAGTATGAAGCTATTGTTCAATGTACTCTTATCTTCGAGGGGTCTAGGTCTGAAGTTCCCATCTCACTAATTTTGCCCCAAGGAATTCTGACCCTTTTGTTTACAGCGTGGGAAACCAGCAGTCTGGAACCCACAGAAAACCAACCTCACTGTCGTTGAGTCCTTTCCAACTCATAGCGGCTCCATAGCACTGCCCCTGTGGGGTTCCAAGGTGGTAATGGTTTACAGGAATACTAAGCCTGGTCAGTTTCTCTCTCTGAGTGAGCAGGGGTCTTGACCAGCTGACCTTGTGGTTAGCAGGGCTAATTTTAACACCCTCGGGAGTCTCAAATTGTCGTCTTGTTCAATGCTCTTTGGGAACAAAAAGTCTAAAGGGGCAAGATCAGGTTTTAGGAAAGATGAGGTAAGTTTTCACATCAAAATTCTCCTAGCACAAAATTCTCTTGGTATCCTAGAACAGTGAGCAGGTGCATTGTCACAATGGTGGGGAAAAAAGGTTACTTGATGTGATTTTCCTGGTCTCTTTTTCACCAATGCAATTAAAAATGTTTTAACTTTGTAATAAGCCCATGATTGCCCTTTGTCCTTTAATAAAATCTATCAATATTACCCCTTTGGAATTCTAACCAGGCTCTATAGCATTCTAAGCTGACCTCTCTACCTTGAAATGTAGCTGGCCCAGTAGATCCCTTCAGAAAGCCACTATTCTGAATGGCCCTCTTGTTGGAGAGAGATGACTGACACTAAAACAAGTGTGTAACTGAGAAAACGTGTCTGCAGCCATCCACGGACCATGGAGACAGGTTTAAATATGGTTTGTTTGGAATAAACCTGTGCGTGTGTAAAAGGGAACCCTCTTGGCAACTCTTTTTTGACTTACCCTTGTATTCATTTTTTCATTGCCGCTGTCACAAATCGCTGCTGAAACAACCCGAATGTATTATCTTACAGCAGGGGTCCTCAAACTTTTTAAACGGGGCCAGTTCACTGTCCCTCAGACCCGTTGGAGGGACAAACAAAACTATGAACAAATTCCTATGCACACTGCACATATCTTATTTTGAAGTTAAAAAACAAATGGGGCAAAAACACCTGGCGGGCCAAATAAATGTCCTCAGCGGGCTGCATGTGGCCCGCGGGCTGTAGTTTGAGGACCCCTGCCTTACAGCTTGCTCGGTTAGAAGTTTGGCACAAGGGTCACTGGGTACAAGTCAGGATGCTAGTAGAACTATTCCTTTCTGGGGCCTGTAGAGGGCAGTCCTTTCCATTGCGGTTTCCAGTTCCTAAAGGTCACCTGTATTCGTGAGCTCATGGTCCTTGAACTCGGTATTCCAAGCTAGCAGCGTTGCCCCGTCAGACCATTCTTGTAGTCGTATCGCCCTCTGACTCCGAATGACTGAGAAAGGTTCTCTGATCTTAGAGACAGACCCGTGGGATGAGATTGGACCCATCTCATGGCCCTTCATTTATACATACCTACCCAAACTCTTGCCGTGCAAGGGGACAAGGGTGTGCACATCTCCACGGTGTCAGGACACTGTCTACCAGGATGGCCTTGTGCCTCCCTAGATTACTTAACTGTAGGTGACAACAAATTAACCCAACGTTGATTTGCTTAAAATGGAAAGCATGTAGTCCTGCATTCCCTGATAGCATCCTTCATTATCAAATACATTGCATTGCCCTTTCATCATCTAAACTCAAATATGACCTACCGTCACTTCTATCCTGGTCCTCACATAGGCCAACCTGGTACACGGGGAGGAGCGTATAGCGGCAGACTAAACACCAGATAGATCTTTGGAATCATCTGGGTTACCACCCATCCTCCCAGTCTGCTTAGGGAATTAATGTTCATAATAGAGATGCTTTAGGGTGCTCTTGACTCTAGAATGCTTTCTTATTCTTCTACAAACTCACAGAGTGGCACCCAGTGCCCGGGGCTGGCTCTGTCTGCTTGGGGTATTTGAACCAAGTGTATTTCCAATCACTCAGGCTGAATCAACAGACAGACACTGGCCACTTGGCAGTGTTGTGCTTAGTGGTGATAAGGAAGTATGCACAGGATGGCAGTCTCCACGCTTGGCTGGCCTTTTCGCCTATCTGATTCTTTTTCTTACAGAGAAGGTTCACGAAGAGATTCAGAGAGTCATTGGGCGTGACCGAGCCCCGTCGCTCACTGACAAGGTGCAGATGCCCTACACAGAGGCCACCATCATGGAGGTGCAGAGATTAACGGTGGTGGTGCCTCTCTCCATTCCGCATATGACGTCAGAGGAAACAGGCAAGTCCAGGTTCTTCCTTCTCTGACTGCGCTGAGGAAGCACAGCGCCCCCCTCTGGTGGCGATAGGGTGGGACTCTTGCTCAGCTGGATCCAAATGCATTGCATTTTGGAGCAGCAGATGGCGAGCCAAGGGAATGCGTCCGAGCTGAACTGACATTGCACCATCGCTTTGCCCCAAACATAGCTCTCCTCGCCTTCAGAACACACACTGGCAAAACAAACCATGGTCTATTTGTTGGCAGAAACGACTCCAGGATTAACAAACAGGCGCCTTCTGTTTAGACTACGGAAGAGTCGGCCTAAATATGAAATTAAGGATTTGGGCTGGAACAGTTCCTACTCCAAGTTTGTACTTCTGTAGCAGAAGCATGGAGTCTATAATTAGATGAACCCAGCTTGGTCTGTGATCATATCTGTTCCTGCCCTTGATATAGATCCAGCCGCCCAGCCTCCCACCCTAGTAACAAGGATCCACCTCCTCGGGAGACGGCCCATTCTATTGTTGCTTGAACATTATGTTAGGCAATTGCTTGGAAGTAGCTTTGGCTCAGGGAGCAGTCTCTTGAGGGCAGAGTAGGTCGCACTATATACAGTAACGCTTGGGCTCTGTGTGCCAGCCGGAAGGAGCCAATGTTTCTTTTGTTGTTGTTTTTTTAACCACACTTTACTTTCCTCCCCATATTATTTGTGACCATAAAAAAAAGAATGCTGTTAAACTGTCAAACGCATGCAAGTACTAGGAATTTGAATTCTTAGGGAAGGTTTTCCTAGAATACATTATCACTTCTGTTTCAGGGTTTTGTTTTCATTGTGTTGTTTCCATGGTAACTAGGTGGGAAAGAAGCAGCAAGGAGGGTGGTGTGAGGACCCCTCTTCCCACAAGGCGGGTATTGTAGATGGGCCCCGCCCACCACAGGGAGGTGTGGCGGTGCTTGACTGCCCTCTGGGTACCACCCCTACGCTGCATCCCAGGCTGGGTACCGGTCGGCGCCGTGTGTGAGATGCCAGTTGATAAGACCTTGCCCTTGTCCCCAAGGACCTGAGCATTTAGTCTGAGTAAATTAAGGTGCTAGGTGTATAACTAGATTTTCTTGCTTTGTTTACAGATAACAATGATTAAACTATCCTGTGAGTTGAAATCAATTTGGTGGCAGTGGCTTTGGTTTGGGCTGATGGAGAGCTACTGGTGAAATCCTGGTGACTGACACTGTGGTGTTTGTTCATTTGTTTCAGTGCTCCAAGGATATGCCATCCCTAAAGGCACCGTGGTTGTGCCCAACCTGTGGGCAATACACAGAGACCCGGCCATCTGGGAGAAGCCAGAGGACTTCTGCCCCAGTCGATTTCTGGACGATCAAGGACAACTTATTAAAAAAGAAATCTTTATTCCCTTTGGGATAGGTCAGTTACATTTTGTAATGAATACCATTGATAGAACAGTAGAACTGAAAGAATCTTTTACTATTTTATGTTTTAAAACTTGAGTCTGTCTTGGCAAGCTAAATTATTTAGATAATGTAGGTCCATCACTGCGTTATTTCAGATTTTAGAAGCAGAATGAACACAGTTGGCTATAAATTCTTAAATATTACTAAAAATCTTTCTTTCTGAGTGGCCTAGTGATTTGGGGGGCGGTATCAGACAACTGTGGCGTTAGGAGCAACCTGACTTTTTGCTGGGCTGATAGGTGAAAGAGTGAGTTCTCTAATCTTGCCAGTCCCTCTTTTAAGATGCATACATCAGTGCTGGTATAGTGGGTTATGAGTTGGGTGGTAACTGGAAGGTTGGCAGTTCAAAATCACCAATTGCTCTGAGGAAGAAACATGAGGCTTTCTACGTCTATGAAAAGTTATAATATCGGAAACCCATAAGGGCAATTCTACCCTGTCCTATAGAGTCACTATGAGTTAAAATGGACTTGATTACAGTGAGGGTTGTTTTGAGTTCGAGATTAGGATAGTAGGGGGTCTTTCTATGGAAAAGGAGGTTCCAAAAATTCTTATCTGACTTTCTCCCCCACCCTACTCCCCACACATACACCTCAAACAGTAGCCTGCCACATTTGATTTGGTCTCTAGTTCCTATGTGATTCCTGGGTCTCGTCCTGTGTGGGATGGGGCTAGGTTTTTATGAGTAGGGGTAAAAATGTGAACCTGTTAATTCAGAAAACTCCAGATGAATGTGTATGATGGGAGGTCATGTGATCTATGTGGAATTTTTATTAAAACTCTATATTAATCTGTGGGAGAAAAACGAGGTTTTCTACTCCTGTAGAGCATTACCGTCTCAAACTCCCAGGGGTGGTTCTACCCTGCCCTTGATACGGTTGTTATGAGTCGGCATCAGCTCCATGGTGAGTTCGGTTTTGGTTTTATCTGCATTTAGAGATTCAAATGGAGACATTTCATATAAATGTGCTATTTGGGGGATAGGAAGAGGGAGAGCATTGTAACCCTCTTGCGATCTTCCTTTTAGGGAAGCGGGTGTGTATGGGAGAGCAGCTGGCAAAGATGGAATTATTCCTGATGTTCGTCAGCCTAATGCAGAGCTTCACATTCAGTTTGCCCGAGGATTCCAAGCAGCCCATCCTGACTGGAAGATTCGGTCTGACTTTAGCCCCACATCCATTCAATATCATTGCTTCAAAGAGATAGAACAAGTCTCCCCAAGGAAATGGCGAACAGAGCCTCATGCATCTGTCCCTTGGAACAGGTTTTCTTTTTGCATTTGACCATGACAATTCAGATCCAGGTGAGACTCAAATTAAGGAGAGACTGAGAAGCGTAGTGCCCACCAGAGCGGTCACCCCCAAGGGTTCCTCAGCAGGCCCCACCAGCCGTTGGATGAAGGCTTGCCTGTCGTTTTGGAAACAAGGACCAGAGCCCTGTTCGGGAAGCAGGAGGTCTGGATTAGAGTGGCTTCCACCAACGAGCCTCTCTGTGCCTCGGTCATCCTCTGTAGAATGATGGTTCCATCACTAGCCTTCTCTCTACCTCTCAGCACCGAAGCACGACTTGTACCCTTTCTGACCTTGCCGAAGCACCACTAGGTTCTGGAGAGGAGATGGCAGCGAAGACTGGCCGTGACCTGTGGGCACATACGAGTCTGTTCACATGTGAATACTGGCTCAGAAAGGAACCATGGTGTTTGGGTTATGTGGAGCTCTCTGGGCTTTCCTCGGCACAAATCCTAGGCTACTTTTCTGGCTTGTGATTGGTGTTTTCCTGTTTCTGGCTTTGTGTGTGTGTGTGTGTACACATATAGGATAAAGCAGACCTCTGTCCAGTATGTTGGGAGGGGGTGAGGGAGAAATGAGGATTTAAAATTCTGCTTCCGTCAGGTTATTCACTGTATTTACCTGGCTACCTTCTCCTTCAGCCCATGGACACGATGCCTGGCTGAAGAAGAAGGGGCTTTGGGCCTGATCCCTTTCTGCAGACTTGACTTGCCACGCCTGCACCTTTTGACCTGCGTGAGCCCTGAGTGGGGAGGCCAGGAAGGTTGATACTGGTATCCATCAAGAAAAGACTTGGCTCCCCAGTGTCCCAAACATTTCATTTCCATTTTTCCTACCCTTCCAACCAATGTATCTCCTCCTGGAAAACTCTAGAAAACAGGAAGACATTCTTACTATTTGTCAGTGGGACAAAATTCTTAACTAGAAAAAAGGGGTGTGGGTGGGGGAAGGGTCCCTGTAGAAGAGCATTTCTCATTGCGGTGGTGACCATGTATAGGGAGTCTCTGGCAATGTCTGGGTGCAGTTGTGGGGAGTGACAAGGCTGCTGGCCCTGTGCACCTGTAGGGGCCAGGATGCGAAGTACTGCAACAACAGAGCTCTCATAGACATCGAACAGTCGTCTGCCTCTGCATGCCAGTATTTGCCACAGCAAGAACACGGCACCAGGACGAAGAGCCCTTCCATGTGGTCATCGGTGTGTAGAAGGCGCCACAGGGATGACATGAGCGGCCGCGCCTTGACGCCTCCCTCGCGTGGCAACACGCTCATTGCTTTGCCTGCCCGTCGGTTTACAGTTTGGACAGCAACCCTAGGAAGAGGATGCTATTTCACAGCTGCCAAAACAGAAGGCTCTTGATTCAAAGGTACCATCCCTGGGTTTCAAACCTACCAGCCCGGGTGACTGGAGAGCTCTTGCTGCACCTGTCTCTGTACTGCTACCACTCAACCCACAGCAGCCAACACTCTGCCTCACTCTGTAGCCACGTGGGTCCATCTTCCACCCAGACAGAGCTTCTAGAGGTGGGGACCTATGTCCCTCGCCCCATTTCACAGTGCCTTGCTCTTAGTGGGTGACCAGCATGACTGTTCGGAAGTGTTTTTATTACAGTTGGGTGATCATTCTAACCCCTAGGAGCCCCCTGGGGCAGGGTGGAAATGCCCCATAGGGGGCCCCATAGGGGGTACTTGGCTGACGTCTGAAAGCGTATCACCCAGCAGCCACTGGGTGAGTTAGTAGCACCAACCTTTTGGCTGCCAGCCAAGCACTTAGCTATTGCACAGTCAGCGCTCCGTGTTGAAAAGTGTACTTACAGAGAAATCCCACTTTATTGGAATAAGTGCAAGATGTATTTTTGTTACTTAATGATAACAAAAAATCAATGTGTGTTATTTTTTTCAATGTGTGTTATTTGTTGGTGTCAGTTAAAGCCTTTTTTTTTTTACTAGAACTTTATCATCTCAAACAATCATGCGAAGCCAACTGAGAACAATGCCTTGGCAGTTTAAGCGTAAGTGGGATGCGAGCGCTGAGCACTGGGAGAGAGACAGGCCCATCCACCGGCCTGTTTCTGACCTTCCTAATGGAGGGAAGCAACTCATGCTGTCCCTGCCGCCGGGGAGAGGAAGGCAAGATCTCCAGAGGCTGGTAACTTGAGAAAGAAGAGCAAAGGGGAACATGCAGCTCTGAACCAGAGCGCTTCAGTTAGCAAGGCCCCTGGGAGTTAGCATCCACTCCCTTCCCATTTTCCAGACCAAGAGAACCCCAGACCTCACCAACCTCTGGTTTCTCCATTGGTCAGCAGACCCGCATTGAGTAGTCGGGTCTTCTTGGTGTGGTCCAAGGCAGTGGTGAGCACTGGGCACTAGTTTTCATTGCACTTAGCACATGCCTGGGCAGACTTCATACTGCACTTCGCACATGCCTGGGCAAACTTCATACTGCATGCTCAAGGAATGGAAAAAGCAGCTGTTAATTAAAAACAAAACCGTAAGAGGAGGAGGAAAGAGAACTGAATATTCTATAAGCAAAAAAATCGGGCTTTTGACTCAACATCTTCTTTGTATTATCTACCGCACATCTCTCTTCCTTTTTTTAAACGAAGCAGTTTCAAGATAGGCGCCATCAAACAACAGACTAATATTTAGGTTCCTTGAAGGCTCGTTGTTATTTGTTAGGGAAAACTGCCAAGGCTCAATGCAGAGGAACTAAGAGCAACTGGAAAAGCCGGCCGTGAGCCGAGGGGATGTCTGCGTGGATGACACTGCGCTGCGGGCGGGCGAGTTGGTTCCTGATGGGCCCTCGCAGCCTTCTGACTCTGATGGGCACTTGCATGTTCAGTCATCCTGACCAAAGAAGAAGGAGTCCAGGTGGCCCCTTGGTTGACATGCTCGGCTACTAACCAACAGGTTGCCTTGAGAGCATCAGCCGTCCCATGGGAGAAAGATGCGGCCATCTGCTTCTGTAACTAGTTACAGCCTTGGAAAGCCTTGAGGGCCGTTCCACTGGGTCGTTATTTGTCTAGATCAGGGGTCTGTAAACGGAGGCCCTGGATGAGTACATGTGGCTCTGCAGTAAAATTGAAAAAGCTTACAAGATATTCAGATAATGGTGATTTCATCTGTTTGTAAAATGATGGCTCTTGAATCATTTTTAAATAGTTGTGAGGGAGAGGACTGGCTCTTCCATCTCAAACATTTGCTGACTCCTAGTCTGGATCACGTAGACAGCCATGGGTTTTGTATAACCGAAGAGTTGTTAACTTGAGAGATGCCCTCTGCTTTCTGTGAGGTGCTGCTGGAATCAGAATTGGCTTGCATTTTCCACGTAAAGCTTCCAACAGCAGCGCTTGTTGAAAATCTGTAACTTACCCTTCATGCTTCCCCGGCACCTGTTGGCATTTTGTAGTTGTGCGTTTTCCGGTGGACTTGAAATGTGGAAATAACTGTGTGTGTTTTTACAAGCGTGCTTTCTTAGTCCTCATCCTCAATGTGATTTTGATGCTTTTATTAAACTTAACAGAAATTGGCATGCCTCGTTTCCTGAAGTTTTTCTTTGTTTTCTGAATGGCTACACATTCTGATTTCCCTGATGTCCAGTCAGGAAGTGGAGGGGGCAGTAGATTTCCACAAAAAGGTGTGGTTGAATTGGCTCGGCTCATGACACGCCATGTACCATCCGCTCAATGGTCCAGTCTGTTGTAGAAGCTGCTGGGCCTTCCAGTGTAGGGATGTTTGTCTTCAGACCATCAATAGGAAGGACTTTCATTAGCTGATTTTCTAAATAGATCTCCAGGTCTGTCTTCCTAGTCTCACTCTGAATCATATCCACCGTGAGCAATCCTGAAGGTACTTCCAAGGCAGCTGCATAGCTTCTAGCATCATAACAGCACAAGAGTCACCACGTTATGACAAACTGACAGATGGGTAGCAGCCAAAAAAAGATATACCGTATATACTTGAGTATAAGCTGACTCGAATATCAGCCAAGGCAATTTTACCACAAAAACTGCATTAAAAATGTGAGGGGGCTTCCAAAAGTTCGATGAAAACTGCCGTTATCTCTCTCTTCCATTTTCTGTGAGTATTTTAAAGCCCCTTTGTAAGCACAGTCTTTAGGCAGGAGGATGAGTTACAAGTCCACAAACCAATCCCGTCAGAACCCACTACTCAGAGGACTGTATCAGAGCCCAGCTGCTTATTCCCCACTCTTTAAGGAAGGGATGGGTCCAGCCAAGTCCATGTGTCCAAGTCTTGAATGTGAGTCATCCCTTGTACATTTCAGTACCGTAAGAAGAGCTTTCTAATATCTAGCCCCCCTTTGTGCTTACAGACGACCCTGCTGCTGGCTTTTCACACCCCCTACTCACCCTCTTAAGGAGCCCTACTCTGATGGTTAGTGGGTTATTCGTTGGGATGCTAACTGCAAGGTCGTGCCAAGGAAAAGAAGACTTTCTACTCCTCGGAAACCTAGAGGGGCAGTTCTGCCTTGCCCTGTAGGGTCACTATGGGTCGGAATCAACTCCACGGCAGTGAGTTTTTGAGTCGACTCTTCCTCTCACAGGTAACAGATCCCATTTACGTCCTCCGAGAGAAAAACCTTTGGTGAGAGCCTCTCCCCTGCCAAAGTGGACTCCCTAGAGAACTCCCCAATCTTATCTCCCAACTTATTTCCCTCCCAGTTCTCATTGCTATCTGCATTTGCTTTGTTCCTGTAAGCCCTTTCCCCATCCCTTCTCCCAGCCCCTGCCCACGCAGGTGGAAAAGGTTGGTTCTCTTTGTTCAGGATCTTCAGGCCCGGAGCGGTGCCTGGCCCAGAGCAGCACTCAGTCCATAGACCCGGTGCCTGGCCCAGAGCAGCACTCAGTCCATAGACCCGAGAAAGGGGAGTGAAGAGGCGAGGCCCTCATCTAAGGACCTTGAAAGCTGGAGAGAGGCTGACACCAGCAAACCTGTCACTGCTTCCTCTCTTCCTCGGTGCTTCCGATTGTGACACCTGACTGAATTTCCATCAGAACAGTGGAAGTGATATTAGGGAAACACTGAAAATGTGGTTACACGACAAGCTCAAATCTGAAGTTTTGCCACGTTTGTTTGGCATGCATATTGTGTTAGGTCTGGTTCTCTAGGGAAGCAAAATCAGGGGTGCTTGCGTGTGTTACATACAGAAAGATTTATATCAAGAAGTTGCCTACCCAGTTGTAGAAATAGGTGAGTCCAGTCCGGTTTAAGTCAGGCTTCACCTGACTCATGGAAGGTGACGAAGAGGAAGCAGGATGATGAGCAGAGAGCCACAGGGGGCGCACAGGCTGGTGGGTGCAGAGGTTGCATCCAAAATTAAATGACTCCACCATCGGTAGTCTGCTGATAGTTCCTGAGGTCAACCAACGAAATGGCAGGAGATTAAGGAACCAGGCACAAGATCTAGCTCCTGCAGAAGGTGAAGGGCCAAAGAGGATTGGGCTCTGCTTGGGTCTCTCTCTTATAAAAGAAGTTTATGCCACTAAGGAGGTATCATCCTGGTGTGAAGCAACTGATAGCCCTTCGCCTTACCTAGAAGGAGCCCTGGTAGTGTAGTGGTTGCAAGTTGGGCTGCGATCCGCATGGTCAGTAGTTCAAAACCACCAGCAGCTCTTGGGAGAACCCATGTCAACAGTTACAGTCTCGGATACCCACAGGGGGGTCACTCTGAGTCTGCATTGAATCGACGGCAGTGAGAAATGAGAACCCTCACCCAGAAGTGTCTAGTTGACAACCCCTATGGGCTTTATCACAATTGAAATGATATTTTGTATTCTTATCAGTTGTCCCCTTTGTATAAGAATTTGAATGCATCTTCAGTTTTAACAAACGGATGTTGTTAGGGGCACTTGAGTTGATTTTCACCTAAGAGTGACCTCCTATGACAGAGAACTGCTCCATAAGGGATTCTGGTTGTAATCTGTCTTGCAGAGCTGCTGGGTGGCTTCGAACTGCCAGCCTTTCAGGGGTAACAAAAGAAAGAACAGGCTTGATGTTTTCCAAGCTGAAATAAAAGGAGGGGCGGGGGAGGGAATTCAAGCCACATGTTGCAATATTGAAAGAGTCTCTAGATTAAAAAATATCGACTAACACATGAAACACCAAAAGAAGATGGAAGGAATCCAGAGTCATGGTACTCAAAAGACTTGAGTACAAGCCGTAGCGCGTGATCAAGAACCCATGGAGCTGAAAGAAGAATGCCAAGTTATCTTGAAGGCATTGGTGAGAAACAAGGCTCCAGGAATTGATGGAATACTGAGATGTCCCAACAGATCTATGCAAAGCTAGACGTACTTGCACAACTCTGCCTAGAAAGTTGGAAGACCAGGTGAGATGAAGCGAGGAGACTCATGACTGTGTCCATTCCAGTGGTGTAAATTTTCAAACTGTCATTAATAGCATATTCAAGTGAAATGTTGTTGAAGATCATTCAAAAATGTTTGCAGCACTAGATCAACAGAGGACCACTAGAAATTCAAGCTGGACTTAGCAGGAATAGCATTGCTGATACCAGATGGATCTTGGATGAAAGAAGAGAATTTTAGAAGGATGTTTACTTGTGTTTTATTGACTGTGCAAAGGCATAAGACTGGGTTGTTGTTAGTTGCCATTGAGTCATTTCTGAGCCATCACAACTGTGTGCACCATAACAAACGACAACATTGAGAAGAATGGGAATTCCAGAACATTTTATTGTGTTCATGTGGAACCTGTATGTAGACCAAGAGGCAGCCATTGGAACAGAGTAGGTTAAATTGGAAGGAGTTTAAAGTACGTGGTTTAAATTCAATACAGGTGTGTATCAGGGCTGTAACCTTCCACCATACTTATTCCATCTGTATGTGGAGAAAAGAATACGAGAACCTTGACTCAATAAAGACGAACGTGGCCTCAGGATCTAAGGAAGAGTCCATAGCAATCATCCTAAGGAGATGACTCAATCTTGCCTCCTGAAAGTGAAGAGAACTTGAAACATTTACCGACATAGCTTAAAGACTATTAGCATTCAGTATGCATTACACCTCAACATGAATGAGGAAACGCACATCTTCACATCTGGACCAATAAACATTGTGGTAAACAGAGAAGATTGAAAGTGCCAATGACTTCCTTTTGCTTAGATCCACAATCGGGAACCAAGAAAGCAGCCATCAGGAAACCAAAGGACATACTGCATTGAGCAAATCGCTGCAGAAGACCTCATGGAAGTGTGCAAATGCCAAGCTGTTTCTTTGAGGACTAAGGTGCCCCTGACTCAAGCCATGGTAGTTTCAATCACCCCCTACTCGTGTGAAAGCTGGACAGCGAATATCAAAGAATCGCTGCATTGGAGCTGTGATATTGGTGAAGACGATTGAAAGCACATGGACTGTCAGATGGATCGATTGCCCCTTGGAATCAAAGATGGCGAAACGTTGTCTCATGTACTTTGAACATGTTGTCAGGAGAGGCCAGTCCCTGGAGAAGGACATGACGCTTGGGTCAGTGAGGAAGAGGAAGACCTTCGGTGACACAGGGCGTGCAACAGTGGATTCAGACATCGCAATGAGTGTGAGGCTGGCACTGCCCTGAGCAGTGCTTCCTCCCGTGGTACAGAGGGCGGCAGTGAGTCAGCATCCACTGGGGCTACCTACCAATAATAACAAATAGTAGCCTTTCCCTATGGCATATTTCTCCAAGGCATGTTCCTATAAGAAACGCAAGAAAGACGATCTTTGAGATAATCCTGCTAACTTGACTATGCCTGTTATGTAGGAAGTGTCTTAAAAGGCCTCACTGAACATTCGCGTTCTTCTGGTCCCAAGAGGAATACTGTCCAGAAACAAAGTGATCTGCGTGTTTCATGGATTGTTTTGTTTTTATAAAATATCTTCAGTAAATTATGTTTGGCCATCTTAGTTCTTGTCATGCTTTTCTAACATTTCTAAATGCTGAACGTTTGGTTTGACCCCTTCCTCATATGATGGCCAGTTTCCCAAGGTTTGAAAAAGGCCCCATTGAAATATAACAGCTAGTTTCTTCAGAGCACCAAGGCATGCCTCCAGCACATAGGAGACCACTGACCAGAATCTGGGCCCACCTATTTCAGCAGGCGCTACTGTGAAGGGCTTATGTTTTATAAAAGGAACTCTGGTGGCATAGGGGTTATGTGTCGGGCTGCTAACCACAAGGTCGGTAGTTCAAAACCACCAGCTACTCCTCAGGAGAAAGAAGAAACTTTCTGTTCCCATAAAGAATTACAGTCTAGGAAACCCACAGTTCTACCCTGTCCTCCCACCCAAGTACTAACAGGCCTGACCCTACTTAGCTTCTGAGATCAGACAAGCTGGAGAGTATTCTGGGTGAT